ACTCCAGCTGTGAGGAAAGGAACAGCTGGTCAGCGTCAGATAAGGAGGTCACGGAGTTGGCAGAGATGGCCATGAAGATCGAACTGCAGACTGAGCCATCGCTCCGACACCTAGAGCATGGGGGCACTGTCGACGCCCAGCTGTTCATGGTGGCCGACGCCGCGGCTGGCCGACAATTTCAAGCATTTGTTCAATCCAGGTCCCTGCCAAGCTCAAGTCAATCTTGGAGGAGCTTTTTGTTCGTTTCATGTGCTTGTTTGTACTATGTTGTGCCTGGAATGATTGACTCAGGACGAATGATTGACCTTCACAACATGAGTTTAAATGTGATTTATGCTTGTCCAATTTTCGGCATTCTTCTCCTCCAATTTCTCCATTTTCCTGAACTTTTCGCCAATTTTTCTACGTCCCTTTATGTTAATCAGTTTCTCTCAAGTAGTCTTATGCTTCTCTCACTTTTCTGTAACGTTTTCTCTGATGGCTCGGCACTGTTTTTGATCTTCGCTGTCACTTTTCCATAACCTTCTGCCTTCACCTTACTCTTACTTCTTCAAGTAGCGAATAGTACGTACACCACCAGTGATTCTGGACGGAAGACACTCGCAAGACTAAGGGTGCTTTTTTGCTAAGGCATCATGCATGTTTCTTTGCGATGTTTTTTGGGTGTCTGGTGTCTTCTGGCCTATTTGGAAAAGCTATGGCCAGTTCCAGTATTTTTAAAAGGAAAAAATTGCACCAGCCTTCTTCAGCCAAGTGCATTTCACGATCTAAGGGGCCAGCTCTATTGTGTATTTGGATGGTCTAAAATTTTGAAGCCGAATGATGCCTTCATCTTAGGTGGATTTTGCTGGATTCAAGGTTTATGCTGTTTTCTTCTGTTATCAGATCAGCCAACGTTTTGTAATGAGTATTCAGGCGATTTGAAAACTTCAAATGGTAAAGCTGACACCTAGGTAAAGTTGACACCTAGTGGAGATCTTTAGACTGCCTGCTGGGCCTGCAGGTTTCACTTCCCTCAAATAAGCCAGGCTTCTTTGTTTATCATTCTTTCACAACGAGAATTGAAGTACACGTTATACTTCTCAGTATTCTCTTCCGACTAGAGAACGAAGGTTTGTTTTAGCTGCGTAGAACTGGCCAAAAAATTTCCATGGAAGAGAAGACATGGACTGCTCATACAAATTCTCTTTCATTAGGGTCGTCACCACAATAAAAGCTCATTTAGTCTGATGTTTTTTGAGGTAAACTGAACCATAGACTTGGCTCCGGACATCCATTCCTCGAATGGTTTAGAATCTAAATCTCCTGGCCTACTTGCAGCAGCTATCAATTACTGAAACAAAAGGCCAGCTCTCTTGCTCAGAAGCAGGGTCCTGGGATGTGCTTCTAGACAATTAGTTCAAGTGATCGAAAGCATGGAATTTGGCTCTTGTTTGGATAACATATCCCTTTCTTATTTCAAAGTCGTTACAGCTTCATTGGCATAACAGGCAAAGGGCCAACTGAAATGTTTTGAAGCAAGGCCATGAGAATTTGTGCCTCTAGCAGTCTAGCACCCGAAAATGGTAGATCCTATGGGGGTTAGCTACATGTACATACATGTGTAGATGTAATTTGTGTATCCGTCCGTGCTCCAGCATGTTTCATAGGGGAGGCCGTGAAAGAAATTGCCGAGGCCCACGCCGCATCTTCCTTGATGGCTGTTGGCAGTTGGAAGACGAACTGGTGGGCTTTGAGACTGACTTTGCCTGATGATCTCCACCGTTTCAAATACCGCTTGAAGGTTCTTCTGGCGATTGTCCCCTTTCTGGGTTACCTATACAAAAGAGCATGCGAGTATATACTGTAGTAAATTGGGTTATGTAAGGGGTCCCCTTGTTCATGGAAACTTCTATCTGGTGCCTAGAAAGCACGAACTGGGAAGCACATTCACAAACCTCAGTTTAGCTTTTGCAGGTGAACGAGCTCGCCAAGCTGTACCTGCAGGGCAGAGTTTGGGTGGACGGGCTGGGGAGGGCCTGAGAAATCTGTTCAGGAAGGTCATGCAGAAATCTTACCGGGATGCACTGGGAGTATAAAGGATTGTTCAATCTTCTTTATCTTTCCGCGGGGCTCCAAGAAGTATTTAAGAACTTTCCTCTGTGGGCGCCACAAGATTTGATAGATGTAGCAACATGGCCTGAACAAGTGTGCCAGCTGTCAAGATCATTGTCTTCGCTGTCAATGTTTCATCAAACATATGTGAGATATCTCATCAAGATAAGACTGGTGAGATTCATAGTGTCATTTTCCCCCCCTTGCTATGACTTAACAATCCTACATGCAGCAGCAGAATTTTCATCAGTGCTGCCGCTCGAAGGATTTGTTTGCAACTGCCCAAAGTCCAGGCCCAAGATGCAGGATGTTCGCAAGGCTTGTCGCTTGCTACTGTCAACTTGCCGCCAAGGCATGGGCGACCAACAACCTGGACGCTGCACAGCGGAGGCTGCAGAAAACCTGTGGCCGCTGGGTACAAAGGTCGAGGCCAGGAAGGGACCTTGGCACAAGAGCTTGACTTCAGTATGCGAGCGTCTTCGTCTGGCGGAAGCATCACATTATCTGCCTTCCCTGCGCTGCCGATCAACATCCTGTGCTGCCGGCGTCTGAACGAGCAGCACTTCGCTTGCCCAGCATTCCCACCCGAACTTGATCCTTCATAGTTTTCGTTGTGTAGGACCCCTTTGGCGGGACACAACACAAAGGGTTTTTCCACTCAACCTTCTAAGACATTGTGCTATGCTTCATTCACGAGTTTGGCAAAGATTTCACTTCATCATTGCCAGAGCTCCGTGCAGTTGGAACCTCCTTCAAAGTCACAGAACCCTTGTGAATGCCCTGCAGTTCTTGAATCTTGCCTGATGATCGCCCCATCGCATACTATAGCCCTCTGACTGCCAAAGAAAGAGCTACCAGGCCTGTGATTCTGCTCGCTGAGATTTTCCGTTTGCATCTGCCGAAGGAAGTCAAAAAATGAAGCTCCCCCCTTCCCCCCCCCCCGGCAAGCGAGCCCATGCCAGTATGCCAGTATCCTGACAAGCCGCCCATGTTACCCACGCAGCGGGAATTCGGAAACAACACTCTACTGCTACTGAGCTTTGCTGTCAGGTTGTGATCCTTCAGGGCAAGCACGGCGGAAACTGGGTTCTGGAGCTCAGCACATAGCCCTCAGCCATGCCAGGTCTGATTTATCCCTTCTCGTTGTTCCTGGCCCTACTCTGCCACCTGAGGTTGACGCGAACATCGTCTCAACCGCGATGGCCAAAGGCACTTGCACTTCACTGGCAAGTTCACAGCAAGTCCACCGCAGTTTCTGCACGATGCAACTGTCCCAACTAGGAGGGGAGCTCGCACATTCTGAGCTGGAACCCTGCTTCAACATCCTTGTGCAAGAAACGGAGGCCAGCGCTGCGGATGATGTCTGAATGATCTAAACTTGCAGCGCCAACGGGCGCTTTTGCTGCTGTTGTTCGCAATTGTTCGCTGTTAGGACAGGGAGACCTAGCACAATGGCGATGCACATGGAGAACTTAGGGAAGGAAAGACGACCAAGAGAGTACGGAAGCAAGAGGAGAGAGATACGGAAGTGAAAGCATGAAAGACAGAACCATGTGCGCAAGAGCAAAACCATAGACTGAAATAAAGCAAGGCCTCTAATACACCCAAAGCAAACCTCACTGCACATCCCACCCAGGGAGTCCCGCACTTTTGAGCCCATGATTCAGATATACCTGAAGATTGAGGGATTTTGACGTACATGCTCAGAGTCCTGCTGAACAACTCTCATGCTAAGTTCAACAATTAGCTGCAGCGCCCCAAGAACAAGGGCAGGCTGGGATCTACGTCTAAATGTAGCACTCATCCGCTGACACGTTGGAGTACCTCAACTAGCCGGGGGCTTGGCAATAATCCACTAAGGAAAGGACCACCAGGGACCTGCAACGCTCATAGCTCTCTCAGCATTTTCTGCGATGTTGTTAATTTTCAGAAGGGGGGCGAATGATTTCAAGCGCCCTTGTTTTGGTTCAGGCTTTCGACCATGCCGTGGGTTTCTCGGGACGCATGGCATTCAGGCCACTGACTTCGCGCACGAGCGTGTAAACCTAGATGGATGTTGTGGTCATTTCACAGCTTGGGAGCGTCCGACCAGATCTCGAGATAGATTAAGGCTCTTGCCGATAATCAGAACGAAATGTGAAGCAAACTCAGCACAAGCGAACAGCACTTTCAGCAGCCGCTTCGGCTCCCGTGCTGCTGCTGCTGCTGCTGCTGCTGCTGGTGGTGGTGGTGGTGGTGGTGGTGGTGGTGGTGGTGGTCGTCATGGAATTGGTCGTAGGTAGCGAGAGCAGGGATTACGAGTAGGAGGAGGAGGAGCAACAACGCGAGCACTGCTGTGTGGCAGGTAGTGTCAGGCGGTTGTTAACTAATGGTCAATTGAGAAATACTTAAAACACTTTTTATGATGCTTCACCAGATCCCTGAAGGATTCGACGCCACCATCTGAGGAAAAAAATACAGGACTGACTGAAATTAGAATTTGCACCGTGGAGAGGGCTGGTTTGTTGTGCTGGTATGCGACGCTAGGGCTGTCGGCATGACATGGTTTGACTGGGCCTGTAATTGTGATCGAGTGTTTCATTGCCAGTTGCAGGTTGCTGCTTGCACGTTCTTGGCAACTTCGATGCTGCCAGCCAAAAGCCTGTACTCGAGGACTGGCACACCGTCAGATGAAGCTGTGCCGAGGGCAAGAAAATCACAACTCTCCATGCGCTGCAAATGCGGCTTAGTGATTTAATCTTTCCTATGCCTGGCTTTGTTCACGAGCGTTCACAGCTCGTGCCATGACTGAGCAAAAAGCCGCTTGCAGTCGATTTGCTGAACCAGCCCAAGATATTAGCAGCCAGACCACATCACACTACACCCATGTTCCGGAGCAGTTCATACGGATTTCTTGAGCTCTGCAGGTCTGGCATCTACCAGGACCTGCGTGTGCGAATACAGCTGTAGGTCAGATGTCAGGCCGGGCCCCGTGGTTCACCATGCGAGGAAACCCGGACGGCCTCCTACCTCGTAGTCGGATCCCTGGGTTCCCCGGCCTAGGTCTCGACCTTCCAGCATGTATCATGGTATGACGTGGTACCTAGTGACCTAGTCGTAGGGCCAGATGACATAGCTGTAAAGACATCAATGGATATGTCCACCGAAGAGCACGTTGGAGGATGGATCCAAGTAAACAGGGCTCGATGCCGTTCGCGACAAGGCCAGGAATCGACAAAAGCAGCTCCACGCTGTGACCGTTGTCGGCCGGCAGCCACATTATTCATGTCCTTTTTGAGCATTTTGAAGCTTGCCTGTTGCAAGATGCCAGGTTGGGGCGTTGAGGGCTCGGTGGACTTCTGGATCATTGAGAATTCTTTTGGCAAGGCGCAGTGGGAGCCAACTAGGGGTGCCACTCATGGCCGTGGTATTGGGAGGACTGGGGTGAGGGTGGCTACGCCAAGGCACTGGGCTCCCCTTCGCCGCTGCAACTTTTGATGTGCTGTCTTGCCAGTACAGGTGGCAGTTGGAAGTTCCAAGAGAAAGGGCATCCTCCTGGATGAGTGCGGGGCTCAAGTCTGTCTGAGGAAGCCAAAGCTGTTGCCAGTCTGACCTGTAGGTTTGCCTTTGCTGTCACTCCCGTGAACCCGAAGGCTCCGGCGCCACGCTTCACAGCATTGTTCAAGAGACTTCCACGTCAGGTGTCTTTGGGCTGATGCCTCGCGCGCTGTACAAAGATGCATATGATGAGCAGCCTTCAGGAAAATGACTGGCATGTGCTCTGGCTGCCGATCATTCTGCGACTTATCCAACTTTTTGCGAATCCAAGATTTTGGTGTGAGATGCTTCAGGTTCTGCACTATGCGTTGAACCATTTCATGTTCGAATTCGAAGCACTTTTGGCCCACGCTTCCAGCTAGGCACGAAAACCAACGGAGGCGCCATGTGCCACTTCAATTTCGACGTGCTAGAAGTGGCGGAGGCGTGGCTCTTCAGCCTGACATCGATCAGCTAAATGCACATCCCTGGCAGCGCCCCCTGACAAAGTAGGTTCCCAATGGCTCCACGATCGAACAAAACACCTGCGCAATTGATTTTGCATCAGTTGACTGGGCGCTTTCGTGCTCTGTTGTCATAGGGCCATGCAGGCAGCTCTGCTTCACTTCGGCGAAAAGACAAACAAACACACACACACACACACTGAGAAAGCCATGCAGGCAATTTATTGCCATGCGCTTGAACTTGGCAAAGGGTACCAACATGACTCCAACAGATGCCAACTTAGGCTACTTTCAATTTTTCTTTCACTGCTCTCTAGAAGAATAGACAGTGCGCGCGATTTCCAACTCGATAATCACAGGGCCAAGTCATCACATGCACCTGGGTCCAGGATATGTTTGCTTGGGACCGTATGCCATTTTGGATCACAGTCCGATTTGCGCGGACGCTGTAGTGTATTACGCTTGCGTCAGAAATGACAATTCTCATAGCGCCAAGCTGTTGATCTCATGTTTGTGTGCCACCGTCGCCATTTTGGTTACAGCTGGTGCACTTGTATTGGAACCTCAGTTCCTTTCTCATTGGTGCTGCTTTTGTCCTCTTGGGACATCTTGGTGCTTCTGGCCATCAATCCTGCAAACCAACAACAAGTGCACCACCTTCTCGAGCGTGGTAAACACTGGCTTTGGGAACAACAGCGTTCTGAGAATAAGATTATTCAACAAATTCTTCGCCGAGATGGCGATTTTCATCGTGAGGTTCGTGACCTAGCCATCAACAACCTGTTCCTCGCAATCAAGTCTCGCCTGCGTGGCGAATTTTTGGCTGGCTTCTTGAAAGAGGCCAAGGACATCATTGTGGGCAGTGTGCCCGATTCACCAAGGAGCTCTACGAGCTCCTCATCTTCTTCGACCTCCGGCCCATCAGATCCATCCATCCCCTACACATTCGTGATGGCCAACTTCCAATTCGTGGAGAGCAATCACAACATCGAGCCTTACCCCACTTGGGACCAACTGCTTGGCTCTACAGTGCGCGAATGGGCCATCTTCTTTGGACAAGATATTACAGCAGGCGAAATCGTCTGGAGTCCCTCCCATCTTCCAGGCCGACTGCCGAGTTTGCCCTGATTCCGATGCAGACGACCTCATTGCGACTGCGTCCATCTTGATTTCATCGATTTTTCTTGGGTTCCCCTCAATTCACCATGTAGGAATTTCTTCAGGCGCCTCTGTACAAGAGCGTATTGCGAGAACGTTCATGGTAACACCTTCGCAGAAGCGGTCTATGCATCATACCTACAACATACCAACCAACGACCGCGCATCATCCTGATCTACATGCAAGCGGCGGGAAAGTTTGAGGCTGTCACGAAGCAGTCTGGCACCAACATGCTCCTCAGCTCCATGTCAACGGGTGACATCATGGCGGCCAAGAGCTTGGTGTTCGGGATGAACTAGACCCAGTGGAAGACGTCGGACGCATACTTCACCCAGCGGCCCTAGGACGGCCAGATTTCAGTCGCCACGACCGAGCACACCAACGCGGGCCTCATCTCCTACACCGACTTTGTCCGGACCAGGAGCTATGACTACATCTGCGTCCTCCAGTTCCGCTGAGGCACCATCATTTGGAAGACCACCTGCCCATCAGGACCACAGCGCCAAGGGCCAGCAGCTTTGCGGCAATCACAAGCAACCGCTATCTCCACCTCGGGCATCTTCACCTACATCGCAGCAAGCGCAAGTACGGAGCCACAACCAGTCCTGAAGAAGGCGCCACCTATCCCAGAGGATGACGACGCTCCTGCCGCAGCAAAAGCTTCATCTGTTCATGTCAATGTGGTCGCGCAGACCATTGCAGCAGGACGCAAGGCCCCACCGGCACAACCACCACAGGAAGAGCATGACCTCTGGAACGACCAATTTTCACACCAGCAGTGAGCATGGCGCGCTCACCATCTCCGGCCAGGTTGCAGACATTGGAGCCACAGTTGGGCAGCCCGAAGATTGCAGCCCTCATCCACCACACATGCCTTGGCAGGATTCCTTCTCACCGCCTATGCCCGTGCCCACCGCACCATTCCCACCGAGACACCAACAACCACCAACACAGATGGCCGCGCCAAGCCCTGCCATGGATGTGCTACCAAGACCCATGCCGGCAGCTTTTCCTCCACAGCACATGGGGACATACCAGGATGGACGCCGCGCTGCCCATCAGGTCACCAGTGCCCACATCAGTGGACGGAAGAGCAGCGCCGCCCGACCCAATGCCACCAGCGGCACCCCGTATCGAGTGGCTACAATCTAGCCAGCTACCTGTGCTTCCACCGATCCCACCACGTGAGATACATCAGTTCCCGCCAGGCAACTACCCGTACCTCGCCATGGCAGAGGACTCACCTTGGCTGGTCAACGCATCGCTTATGGTGGCCATGGAATCCTCCTTGGACTACCAGATCCTGGGTCCTCGCATGTCCATTTTTGGTGCCCCGGACGGATATAGACCGACGTCGTCACATTGGCTCCATCAGCGCAGCGGGCCACAACAACGCGGAGACATGCTACAATGTCATCCGGGACTACATGGCCCTGGCAGTTTACATCCGCAGGTTCCCCCAAGGACATCCCGCAGTAGACAGATGGATCACCATCAGTGAGGCCATCCTGGACTGCTCATGCTACATGCTGCCGGTTTGGTGGCGACAACGTTTCCACAATGACTGCCATGGCAGAATCACGTCTACGCGACTGGACAGCCGGCGCGCCTCTACTGGCACCGTGGTTCCTGAGCCGCCTCATTTCCGGTGTGATGAAATGGCTTACCGCTCAGGCGAAGGGACATAGAGTACACCTTGTACCATCAAGTTTGCTATCGTTTTCCTCAGTGCGTCTGATTTCCGGTGGCAGTGTCGGCTTACCGCCTAGGCGAAGGGCCCTATCGTCCACCTTGTGTCATCAGTTCCCGGTGCCATTCTTTTCCACTTAGGCGATGGAGAACTCAGCCGGACCAACTCGGAACATCAATATCGACCTGGCGCACCCAGCAAACAACAACAGTAGCCCATGTTGGTGAGTGACGTTCGTTTGCGACATGCATGTTAACAATTGCGGGAGCATGTTATGTGCTGTTCAGGGATCAGGCCTGCTGTGAACTACACTGACCAGCATGGCCTGGCATGTTATGTGCCGTAGCATCATCCTGTGGCTAGTGCCCCTCCTACAACTTTGCCTCGACCTTCATCATAGCAGCACCATCCTCGAGTTCGCAGCAGACGGGCTACACCCACGCCTTGTCACCGGAGGATGAATCAGCCGTTGCACTGACTGGATCAGGCATATTACCCTCTTGACCAATGGTCTGTTGGCTATCCCCACGCAGCACTTGGACTTCCTTTTTAACCACTGGAACGGACTGTCCCTTTGCTGCGCCACTTTGATTACTCATCTTGTGAAAGAGCTGAATGACCTGAGGGTAATACTATCAGGGATGCAGAAGGCATTGGAGGAGTAGAGGCAGCTTGCACCTCCATTGAACACAGGGATGAGGGGTAATTTGTGCGCCTATAGTACTCACTAGGCAAGCCAGGCGGAGAAGAAGGCTGGGCATTGGCTGCATGACTGACATCTACCCTTGATGATGGAGTAGCAGGTGCTTCTTCTATCCTGCGGTCGCCAGCCGCCTCGGCTTCTCTCTGCACCTCAAGGGCTGCTTGGAGTACCTGAATTTGTCTTTCATACTCGACAAACCTTTGCTGCAAATGCTGTGAGTTCATCGACTTCGAAGCCGTTCTTTCAGCCATATCAGCACGTAGTTTAAGATTCAACAAGCGATGTTCTTCGGCAGTCATCAGGCGGTACTCAGCCGGATAGCTTCCGCAACTACCTCTTTGGCCTACACCCCCTACTACCTGATCAGTAAAAAACATACCAGCGGTTTTGGGATTACTCGAACTAATCATTTCAGGCTGAGTGGCCCGCGGCCAATTGGCACAGGGTCCTGACGGGGAACGATGCAGAGCTCCTCCAAAGCTCGCAAGACCACCAGCGGTCGACGGGCGCAGGGCATGGATAGCCGTACCCGACTGAATAGCTGAACCCAGGATGGGGCATGTTACTACCACTCACCCTAATGCTTTCAGGCAAGACTCCGCCAGAGTCTGCGCAATGACCATCACCGGTCATAACGGGGCGTGAGGCACACCCGCGGAACACCTATTACCAACGGGATTTCCCACCCCACACTGACATGCCCCAGGTGACTAAGTGTCCGGTATTAGACACTGCGCACCTACCACACACGGTGCTGAAGCCTGGCCAAAAGCTTCATGACCGCTAGGTGACGCAAGACGATGAAACCATGGAATCCACCCGTCGTCCTCAAAATTTGAACCTGCAAGCATCTCGGGGATCGGGGGTCCAGGTCCGTTTGACACATAACGAAGCTGGCTGAGCAAAGTTTCACGCTCACTCAAACCATAACTTCCACTAGCATCACGTCCGGAGAACTGCGCAACATTCCCGGTTGCTAGCACCTGACAATGTGGGTCACTTCCCACTGGAATACCACCAATTAAGGGTTGCAACGAAACGTTACCTGTGCAGCCCTGTCGGATCTGGGCGTCCCCTTCAACAGACCTGACTACACCTGTGTTGCCGTAATCGGCAGGTAGCACGTACCCAACAGGAACTGTACGAGTGCCCTCCGCCAAAGG